TGTATACTCTCATCTGTCTTGTGCCAATAATACAAGTATCAACAATGTTGCGTAATCACGTGTTAGTTCACGTAGCTGTTATCTACCTTACGTGTATTGCACAAAGATAAAATTATGACTTATTACATATATATTCCTTTCTGTGCCCAGTGTCCAGAAAAAATATTTGTTAGTTAAAGTAAGTGAGTTTAGTTTTACGCCGCACTCAACAATATTCCAGCAATGTGGCGGCGGTCTTTTAAATAATCGAGTCTGGACCAGACAATCCAGTGATCAACATCATAGCCATCGATCTACGCAATTGGGATGTTAATTAAAGAAACAGATCATAGTGCGTATAGATTTCATTAACATCATACTTGCAACGACAACATCAATATCGTACCTACGACTACATACTACAAAGTCGGCATTCAAGGAACATGGCGTTCTTCAACAAAAAAATCTGTTTGCAGCGCTGTGAACAATGTTTCAGTCAGATCACGACCTTCCAGCTTTATGCCTGTGGAAGTAATGCGTTCATCACTTTGATGAAAGTAAAAACGACAAAACCCTTTCCACATCCGTTAAAAATCTCTGCTAACAGCAGAGTCGATTGTACAATTCTGACTGTATCATTAACATGTGTTTATTTGACACCGCATTTTGTAGTATTGCAGCTATACGAAGCAGTTTGTAAACGAGTCAATCAAGTGATTTACACCATGAAATACGACGACAGAGCATGTGTTTATGAATCACTATAAAGCAGTGACGGTACCAGGTTTTCACGAAAAGGTGAACGTAACCAGTCCAAACGGGGGCTCCCGTCATAACTATATGTACATGTATTTGCAAAACCAAATTAACTATTCACCTCAAACAAATGGCATGGTACAACTACAAGTCAAAATAGGGAATTGCTTCCGACATCATTTTTCTCACTGAAGCATCAAATTTGGAATTGTCTTCCACATGTCTACCATAAAACGTCTTGAGCACAGGTATGGTGGTGACCAAGAATCAATTGAACGAGATTTCAGTTCTAATCATTTGTCTATGAAGAAGAGCACACGTGTTCATACCTAAGCTAATTTCATTCAGCGATGACGGATTATGAGGTTTAACCGTTCAGTTTTGTGCATTCAAATAATATTGGACTATATTCAATAATAACGTTATCATTACACCTGTATAAAGAAACCATTATACCTGGCCTTTGGACGCTGTCATATCTCGACATAAATCTGACATAAATTCGAGCTGCGAGCATAGGCTGTTCTGTATGATCGATTATATTTGTAATGGCTTTAAACTGATCCACTACATCCATGGCCACTGCGATCTAATACTCTCCTTAATACTTGTAATCAGTTAAGTTACTCAAGTATAGATCCAGTGTATGAAATAAGGCCCGTCCGACCACCCGAGACGGTCTAGATCTCTGACGGACGATCAGCCAGCCCGATGGTCTGGTAAATGTTTTTAAATGTTCCATACATCTGAGTAAATTCACCATATTTGGTCTGGTTAAATCCATTTTGGGCTGGTAACATTTTGAAGTTACCAGCCCTGACGTCAGGCTGGATATTTGGCTTATTTCATACACTGATAGATCTACGACTGAATTCTTAAATAAGTGAATCTATAGTAAAGTGACCCAGTTTATAACATGAACACAATTACAATAACACTATAAAGAACGTACTAATAATGTATGAACGCTTTTAGTGAAATATTCATTCTAGCTGTGATTAAGAAAACAATTTGATATCACTACAAATATGCATGCGCTTACACTGATTCAACCATGGGATAGAAGCCATCAGTGACCCCACCCTTATCTGTCGTCTCACGGTCTCTGAACCATATCATTTCCTCCTTCTGTCTCCCTGCAATGCTAAAGCCCTAAATGAAGCAAGTCCAGATTTCCCAAGGTTCAGGATCTGAAAATCCCAACTCACTGGGCTCCATTTCAGATTAAAAGGGTTTATTTGTTACTATCAATACTGTATATACTCTGGGACTACGCGTTATTTTATCCCCACCCTTATTGCGTGTTTTAAAGTACAGGGTGACGGTTGAGAGGCCCCAGCAGCGAGCCATTTCTTACAGCCATTCATCAAGTCACGTACAGAATGGCCTCTCAAGAGCTGATTTAGTAGCAAACAGTTGTTGCCTATTACCACAGCCCTAACAATAGAACATGCGCACTCGAACCCAATATAACAGAGCTAAATGCTCGTAAATATTTCACATTAAGACGTCACTCGTCAGACAAGTGTACTTGTTTCGTGGTATCCAACACAACCCTTTGACTGCAATTCGGTCAAGTTATATATCTGCGCGTTTGCAAATGACAAGCAGAAAAGCACATCGATAATCTATACTCGATCGACTCACCCGTCGTAACTCCAAATTTCCGGGTTAACAGCTGACAGATGTCCGGTCGATGCTGAATCAGGTCGCTGGAGTGTCCAGTTCGGAGAATCAACTTCGTCGGACATTATCTTGCGAACATTGCAGAGTTTGTACTGACTTGGATTATATCCGAGTCCTCAGTACAAACAACCCCCCGTGACACATCTACACAAATGTAAGCCTATATTGTACACACACAGGTATTCCTCGAGGTAGCTGGAATTTCACAATAACCGATGCGCTTGGGTGTATTTTATGTACAGTCTGACCAAACTCGGACGTCTCACCTTAACAAAACACAGCAACCTGTTTTACCAGGTGTACAAGGTCAAGGCCGCTTGGTCAAAGTCGGCTTCGATATCACACCCGCAACAGCTATTCAAACAGTTCGATCAATCCATTTGACTGCTTGGATTAAACAAAAGGCCATTAGCATCCAATGTCAAGCGGTTTAACTGTAGACGGCGGACAGGCTGTGTTTAAAGACGTTTAAATATATTTCAATGTCTCTGCTTTAAACGAGGTGGCATATCTAAATGACACGCTTGGATGAGATATATGTAAACGAGGAGATGAGGTTGAGTACCTTAAGCTTTTACCGCGACCGGCCACACCTATACAAGGTGACCCGAGGTATAATAGGCCATAGCTGTAGATCCCCTTAGAATTAGCTGCTATGTTGTTGTTCGTGTTCTTCAAGAGAATACTAGTACTGAAAACCACATTCGATATAGGTCCTACTGCGTTTCTTCAGTATAATAAGGGGGCAATACACAGGCATATTGCAACAGACGTTATTTTAGTTTCGTAAGTGCCACTTTCTGTGTCTGTCATACTGTTAATGTTATCAGGTAGTTCAAACAAACTGACAGTGATAACTCTAAACTACAACGCAGTAATGGGTACAACGTGTGAAGCCCATTTCTGGTGTCCCCCGCTGTGATATTGCTGGAATATTGCTAAAAGTGGCATAAAACTAAAGTCACTCACTCTCACATTTTTAGCACTATTCCATCACGGCGGGGGACACCATGAATGGGCGTCACACATTATACCATCTGGGGAATCGAACCTGGGTCTTCGGCGTGACGAGCGAACGCTTTAACCATTGGGCTAACTCATAGACCCGCCACTTTAAGAGGGGCGGTGGGATATCCTATAGTTGTTAAAGCGTTCGCTCGATTCCCAACATGGGTACAATGTGTGAAGCCCATTTCTGGTATCCACCACCGTGATATTGCTGGAATATTGCTAAAAGCGGCGTAAAACATAAAGAAAAATACTGACACCACGCTGGACGCACTTTTACATCTTGGTAGTCGTCTGCCATCTTGTTGGATGTTGCTATGGTCACAGCGCATGCGTGACAGACAGATCATATACCGAAAGAGGTCGCTAACTCTTTCGTGCGAACGAGCAACGCAAAATTACGGATTATCGGTCTTGAGTGAACGATTTGCATTAATGTCAGATCCTATACGGCACAGGACTTTCAGCATACATTCACGAGGGACAGATACTCCGTACTTGCACCTTTCCAGTGGGCCACTCTATATAATACAAACTGACATCTTAAGAAAGTCAGTCTTAAAAAGAAACTTTACTGTATAGCTCTTCAGCCATGGAACAAACTTTCATAATCATTAACTGAATTCAAATAAAAACTCAAGACGAACCTATTTTCAGGCTATTATTCATAGACTAGATTTCGCCCTATTTTTCATACACATTATCTCCTGCTATTATTTATAGGCCATATTTCAAGCTATTATTCATAGGTTTAAGTTCATACTATTATTTCATTACGTGTACCTTTTCTCACATTGTATGCGCGTTGAGCATGCACCTTGAAGTTGTGGATGGATCGTGCTTTATACATACTCATTATTATTATTATTATTAGTCACGCTATAAGTTGTGACGTCATGAAAAAATGATGACGCTATACCGTATTGATCGATCGGCACTCAGAATTGCAAAAATGCACTTGTGGAAATATTCGCAAGTCATTACAGTTATCATTATTCCGACAATCCTTCCCTGTTTGATAACTGAATGTGGAAATGATCACCTGACCGATCCGAGTGTGTTTACTAAGTTTACTTAGACTGTGCAGTTCTCAGACATTTACCAAATTGGTAAAACCTACGACCACGGGTATGGTGTTGACAAACGTAGAAACATGGTCGGGGCAAACCGGGATTCGAACCCATGATCATAAATTCTCGGATCTAATTTTGTCAGTCTAAGTAAACTTAGTCTCAGTATTATTCGTTACACTGCTATACAGTGTAACGAATAATACTGAGCCTAATTTTACTTAGACTGCTAATTTTGTGAACCTTGTATTATTGACCCTTTGCCTTGTAGACGACTCCTTTCTTAATCCGGAACTGACGGAGCCTTCATCGACACTCCCTAGTCTCAACTACGTTTACGTCCAGACTCGATTATTTACAGACCGCCGCCATATAGCTGAAATATAGCTGAGTGCGGCGTAAAACTAAACTCACTCAACTACGTTTACGACCACACATTTTCCATGGTCTACTAGACTTCGCCTTAACGAGGATTTCAAGTATTAAACAAATAACACTTACGCTTCCTCCGGTTCTTCTAGTGAGAAGTTTTTCAGAGCGCTGAAACAGAGAAATCGGTTAGTCATGCATCAAGGACATGGAAACAAGGTGAATGATATTGATAATTCATAAACACTACATTCAAATCGGCCTTCCTTACGTTATTGCTGTCTTGATGTGCCTCGTAACGAGAACAACCAACAAGCACTTTCAGACTTGGACCGTGTGCCGATATTCCGGCTTTCCCATTGAGCTCCCGATCAACGTTCGTAGTGTTACGGGCTATCGTAATTATATAGTGTATCATAGGTTACGGGTATCGTAGTGCTACAAACCCTCCTTGGATCCGACCCTGGGTCGATCTATAAATTGTGTTCTGGGTTTCTGCCATTACCACACATATGACAGGATTCTTTTAAAAATTTTAAAACGTGACCACTATTTTTTTTAACGTTCCTGAAATATTTCGACAAAATACAAGTGTTTTATCATTTAAAAATGGTCATGAACTCAAATGAAATTTTTTTGCATTTATAAGGATATATACTACTCACACTTTGCTAAGGATCACAAAAATTCACAACTTTACTTCCACGTAGATTCATAATTTGAAATGTATCCATTTAAAACTGGATAAATAATGATATGGTAACCCCTCTCTAGGCAAACAGTCACTTTAATCTAACCTTATGCACTTGATACATGAGTAACCATCAAAATGGTTTTCATGGTACCAATCAACCATTTTGCAAATCATGGAACGAGTCATTGACAGGTACACAACACCTGTCAATAGCAGGTATGGAATCCACAAGATGAAATGACACACTGAAATCTAGGATTCATGCTTACAATAGGCTTAGATATTTAAACCAATTTGACCCCACATCATACTCTTCTGTTGAATCAATGATTTGATCCTTAGCAAAGTGTGAATAGTATATATATTGATAATTATTTCGCGTCCTTGGCGTGGGCTACGAAACACATTTCAAGGTTCATAGAAATTATTTTCGCACCCAAAGACGATAAATAATTTTGTATTTAACATATAAACGTAACGGTGACTTTGACAGTTGATCCCAACAGACAACCAATCTATGCCGTATCCAGCTGCAGGAAAACTGCACAAGAAGAATTTCTGGGGAAGGTGTTTAGGAGGGGTTGGGTGGGGTAATATAGTATTTTACATTCTCAGAATTCAAGGATATAATCACGAATATGAAATAAGATTGCCGTTAAGAAGTTCATTTGCTCTAAAGAACTTTAGTAGAGTTCGACTTCATTCGTTAAAATAGTGCGTGTGTGTGTGTGTGTGTGTGTGTGTGTTTTAAAGCATGCGGTGTAATGTCAAATTATACACCAAAGCTTTCCTTTAACACTTAAAAAATACATAGGTCGATTTTGTTTACACCTTTATCAGTTGTCATTAATATGAAGTAGATCAAGACAAATATTATATTTTTGACAGAGTATTTACATCATTCTTGTTTATCAAACAACTGGAGAAGTCAATCTTTTGTAATAGAGAAGATTTTGTGTATTGTAAAACTGTAGATGCCTCATGTTAAAGGAAGTAGGTATCCAGCTATGATGATATAACGCATTCTGTCGTGAGATTAATTTATCATGCACTCAATGTAATTTCCTTGTTATATTTCATAACCTAAAAACATATTTTACATATTTCAAGTGATGATAAACGACCAACGGTTAATGCTGCAATGTGTTGCCGTCTTTTGTTGTTGACGCCGGTCTCAGTAGAATTCCAGCTATGTGACGTGTCCTGTAAATAGTCCAGTGTCGACCAGATAACTCAGTGATTGACTGTTACGCGCTATCGGGGTACGGTGACAGACAGTCAGCTTGGTGAACTGGACCACCCAATCCATTTGTTTACCTCTTACAAACGGTTAAGGGGCGGTGGGGTAGCCTGATGGTTAAAGCGTCCGTTCGTCATGCTGAAGACCCGGGTTCGATTCCCCACATGGATGCAACGTGTGAAAACCATTTCTGGTGTTCCCCGCCGTGATATCGCTGGAATATTGCTTAGAGCGGCGTAAAATCATACTCACAAACAAACAGCTTAAGTTGCTGAGGGCCTCTTAGATGAACGCTTTGTCTCTATAAATATCTCATGTTTGGCGGGAGAAAAACTAATATGGTTCGTGAAATGTAAAATAGACGAGGGAACTAGTCTAACGCGAAGTCCCCACTCTTGTACTGATGATTTAGATGCTGATATGAATTCCTTGGGTTATAACACCTTGGTAACATAACATTGTTTTGTTTGTTTGGTAGTTTTTGTGTAATAGTACTATTAATACTGACGTAAACTTAATTCGTATTCATTTATGTACAAAACAGCTATGGCTATTTAAAACTGTGCACAGGGAAATAGACTCTTTAAAAACATGGCGTTTGCCCTGACTGTACATGCGCCTTGGTGTATTATAACAATATTGGAATTACGACGTGATTGCCGGGCAAAGGGTTGTACACATGACTGGGTTATACAGTAATCAAAGCATTACCAGGCCCAAAACATTTCCCCGAAACACTACAGGCATGATAACGCAAGTATGATACACTTTCAAATACAATTTGTTTGTTTGTTGTTTTAACGCCGCTCTCAGGAATATTCCCGCTATATGGCGGCAATCTGTAAATAATCGAGTCTGCAGGACCAGACAATCCAGTGATCACCCGATCCTGTTAGCTCCTACGACAAGCATGGGTCGCTGACTCGCTGATGACAAAGTCTAACCCAGATGTTTACGGGTTTATCAAATACATCACCATCGAGAAACCATTTCTAATATGTTTCCTGTCTAATCCTTATTAACCATGGGCGTATACTTACCCTTCTGTACATCAGATATATCAACTTACCCGTTCTCGTCATCCACATCAGTAGATGTCGCCAGATTGGGTTCGATGTTAATTGATCCCTGCGTGTCTCTGAAATGATACAGCGCTGGTAACTACATAGCACATTACACTGTGACGTATAGTCACACAGATCTTCATAAAGTGGTTCGTAGTGAAGACACGGCTCAATTACATTTTCACTGAGGCCGAGAAGTAACCGTGCGTATTGTCAATGTTTATATATAGCTCCCTACAGGCACCGGGCGCGGCATCAAACTACATTGTAATTGTGGTAATTATTTTCATAAGACGGAAGCATGGGCTAGCATGACTATACGCTTTAATTAACGTAAGAAATGTATTACAACTAATGTGCATGGGGTTTCTGACCGATATCTAATGGCCTTTGTGGTTAAATAGTTGCATATTCATGTTGTTTCTTTCATAGATGCCTAATACATCAATGAAATGATACTGACACGACAGTGTGTAGAAGTTAATGATATATTAATTGTTTTATAAATTAAATCATTTTACAGTTTGCGAGTAAATCCTCATGAAATGAAAACAAACTCAACAAATGGAATTCTTTAACTAAAATAGCATATGGCTAAGTTTTAGATTTTAAAGAGTTGCAACCTTACATGAAACGATTTTTTCTTGCTAACACAGCACGTGTTAAGGGCGTGGTCTTAGTGACGGGACACCCTGACAACGTTATTGTATGTCGCGTTAGATATACGTCAGTCCTAGTTTTGTGTTCTCGTTTCTCAAAATATTTTGACAAATTATAACGTCAAAAATGTAAGGAAAAACGAGATCCGTTCCCCATATTTTAAACGTTAAAAATGGTGTGTTTTTTCACAAGAGTAAAGAATACCAGCCATATATAGAAATAGATCTGATAGAAATGAGTTCAAAATGCAGAAGTTCTTTCACAAAGTACCCTCTGCTATTTAAAGATATGTTTATTTCTGGTACATATTTTACTACACGGAGTTTAATGTTACGTTCGTACTCATATTACATGTATTAGTTAAAACTGCTTCATATATAGAATATGTTCGTTTTTACCTAATTGTATTTTTATTTACCTTTGAAGGGATGGAGGCCCAGTTTCGCGGTTAAAGCGTTTTGTTGTCACCTGATTGATCCACGATGTGTGACATACATTGGTGTCCTCCATCGTGATATGGCTGACATATTGCTTAAGGCGACTATTAACACGCTTAAACCATATATACTGGAAACCTTTAATACACTGCCCTCGAAGTTATATCAATACTTTTTCAATATCAGTCTTAGTAAATTATGTGATTGGAAAATACTGACACTTTCGGTCTGTTGAAGAGGAGTCGTGTTTTGGATATACTCATGTCCTACTGGTTATATCACAACAATACAAAACATCCTGGGCAAACTCGTGAAGATCCGGGTTAGAATCCGGTTAGTTCCCTCGTCTATTTTACATTTCACGAACCATATTATAGTTTCTCTCTTGCCAAACCCTTACTGTAATGTAACCGATCTAAATATGTAAGTGTACATTTTTAGAGGCTCTGAATATCTCACCTCATGAAGCATGGAACTAACGTGGAACTAACGGGTATTAATAAAGTGCTGACAACACACTCAGAAGCCAACCGGGATTCGAACTCGGAATATGGCGTACTAAGTACCGGATACCAGAGACTAGAGGTGTGACGATAGAGAAATTTCACGATACGTATCGCGATATCTTGGAACGATACGATTCGATACGATGCGTATCACGATATGCTATCTTTAGTTATTTTCTTTAAAAAAGTGTATTTTGATAATAGTGTAAATTTTGATATAACCGTCAATTTCTAGTGAAAATTCACAATTTTAGGTCAACGATACATATCACGATACGATAAAATGTATCGATATATTTATTGTCAGAAAAGGTATCACGATTATCGATACTACGATATATCGTCACAGCTCTACCAGAGACCATACATTAGTAATCTATTATTATATGGTCTCTGCGGATACCAAGGGTGGGGTACTTTAAATGGCATATTAGACAACTACCAAATCAAAGCAGAAATCAATAGCCGTATGTGGAAATACGCCCCCAAACATTGATCAGGTTTTCGACATTAACAGAACGTTGAGTCGGCATTGCCCGGTTAATAACACTATACGCGAATCAACTCGATACTACTAACATATTGTCCAGGGAATACTGGTCACCTGGGACGATAAACGTGTAAAGCAATAGCAGGGCATTTTATATTCAGCTGGTTGTCAACCCGTCAAAATGTCAACATCATGTATATGCATTGTCTCCTCATCTAAGTCCTATGTGTATACACCTAACACTCATCAGTGTGTTAATGTTTCGGCAATAATTGTTTTTGAACGCAGAATACAGAACTAATCCATGAAAGGGAGATAACTCAAGCTGCCGGTTTCATATGGAATCAATCTTTTCATCACGATTCCCGTACACTTACGATCATATTAAGACAAAATAGATTGACCGACTTATTACAATTTTCCAGTAAGTATTGATCATTTCTGTATTTCCTGTAAAATATATTTATGAAATATACATCAGAAAAAAATATCAACGAATCTCTCTCTAAATGGAGTACAATATCATTTTGGTATCAGCTAAAGAGTACAAGAATAGAATAATATGCTTATACATTACTTTCATCCTGAATTAACACCGATCAATGGTGGCAAAAAATCATCGATGTTTCATCGCTTAGGTCAGTAAATCTTTTTTATCTACCGGTACATTACCAAGTGATCTAAATTTTGAAATTTCAAAAAATATGTTTTACGCAAAAAACACAATTAGTGAAAATCCCGTTTTGAATATTTTCTTGGTTCAAGTTTGAGATGAGAACTACAATACTGATGGCCAAATTAAACGGAATAGCTGCAAAATCTCTTTGTTATTTCCCCATATATACAACGGGACATGAAAACATATTGTTCCCTGATTCAAGAGCGTGTATAGAGCACTTTGTTATTTCCCCATATATACGACGGGACATGAAAACATATTGTTCCCGCATTCAAAGGCATATGTAGGGCACGTCATTACCCGGTGGGCAAGCCTGTTGGATTTGTTTTCACACAATAAGCCCGTATGTTTGGTCACCTCCATAGTCAAGGTGTTCCATCAATAACTACATTGGCCTATATTGTCAGTGAGGTTTTCAGTGTATATTTCATCGGAAAACAGTTTGTTATTAAAAGGCAAGTCTTGCACGACATAATCGATCACACCAGTTTCTAGTTCTGGTTTAGTACCCGTGTATTATGAACCGGACAGAAAATAGATTAAAAACATTTCCGTGTGCATATTGTTTCATTAAAAAACTAAACTGAAAAAAAGGCAAACTACCCCCCAAGAACAAAATGGGTGACACACACACTTAAAATCATCATGACCCCCCACCGCCCACGCCCCACTATATTTAGTGTATAATGAACAGATATTTTATTTTAGGATTTTGTTAGCATAAATATTCACAAAAACGGTTCAAATGAAATCCTTCCTGTTTTTTCCCCTCATCACAATTTATTTCCTCTTCACCGAGACACACACATGTTTAAACAGGAACAATATGCTCACATGTTTAAACAGGAACAATATGCTCACATTCAACATATTGGTGTCAGTTAGGTGTGTTTTTTTGACGACGCCGCTTTTAACAATACCCCCGTTATATCACGGGGTGTCAGCTTAATATCGGGGATAGTTCAAAGTGATACAGGATTCAGACGTTTACCAGAGTTGGTTGTTGTTGTTGTTTAACGCCGCACTCAGCAATATTCCAGTTATATGGCGGCGGTCTGTATATAATCGAGTCTGGACCAGACAATCCAGGGATCAACAGCATGAGCATCGATCCACGCAATTGGGAGACGATGACATGTGTCAACCAAGCCAGCGAGCCTGACCACCCGATCCCGTTAGTCGCCTCTTACGACAAGCATGGGTTACTGAAGAACAATTCTAACCCGGATCTTCACGGGTGGAGACAAGCATGGGTTACTGAAGAACAATTCTAACCCGGATCTTCACGGGTGGAGACAAGCAAGGATCTTCACGGGTGGAGACAAGCATGGGTTACTGAAGACCAATTCTACCCCGGATCTTCACGGGTGGAGACAAGCATCTTTCACAGACGGGTGGAGACAAGCATGGGTTACTGAAGACCAATTCTAACCCGGATCTTCACGGGTGGAGACAAGCATGGGTTACTGAAGACCAATTCTAACCCGGATCTTCACGGGTGGAGACAAGCATGGGTTACTGAAGACCAATTCTACCCCGGATCTTCACGGGTGGAGACAAGCATGGGTTACTGAAGACCAATTCTACCCCGGATCTTCACGGGTATGTTCACCAGAGAAACCCATGAACACGGGAATGGGGCTTACACTACATTGTGATCTTAGAGGCAAGATGATTGACACAACGTTAACTTCTATTTTAAGAAATGATTTAAAAAGCCACCGCAGTTTGTACTGAAGCCATTTGGTATACATATTTCAACACATAGTACATACAACAATATTGCTATAATTTGCAAGATATTATATTTAAGCATATAAATGATATAAACTTATGATCAGATAAAACAATTACTTTTTCATCCTGGTTGTACAAAAGAGCCAGCAAAGTTCCTCTTTTTATTTTGTACGACTTTCTGTCTTCTTTCATCACGATCACCTATCATTAAGTATCTAATACCTCTGATATGTTTTTCCAGTTACTTTCTATCGCATTATTGTGCCGCAACTGGGCCAGGATAGCAATAAACCTCGTAGTAGAAAGGTTAGAGTGAGTGAGTGACTTGGTTTTACGCCGCATTTAGCAATATTTCGGGGGGACACCAGAAATGGGCTTCACATATTGTACCCATGTTGGGAATCGAACCTGGTCCTTCGGCGTGACGAGCGAACGCTTTAACCGCTAGGCTACCCCACCACCCAGAAAATCTAGAGCTTTGGTTTGCATATTGTGATGTGATATATAAAGGTGATGAGACCTGAAACATTGATAAGGTATAACATTATATTAAACCTAAGGAAATAATTTAATCTTGCGTTGAGATCACGACTTACATATACACTAAGCCATCGGGGTTGTTCTAGCGATCTCGCAATCGCGAACTTTTGGTATGTTTACCAATTATATTTTAGTTTCTAAAGGTCGCGAGAAAAGGACAATGTCTGGCAGTATTCCATTTATATGGTTGAGTCATCTATGTTGTGTAGATCGACAAGTAGTTAGAATATGCAATCACAATCACAACGGTTTTAGTTAAGCTAGCAAGTACATTTTCTCATTTACATGTATTTGCATATATAAGCGTCAGGCCATGGTAGCTTTGCCACTAGGGTATGAGGTTGAGGGGTCGTCTATAGCAAAGTTCACTAATTAATTCTTTCTCTAACTATCTCCTAAAACTACGTAAAACTTTTATCGAATTTGCATTACATATAATATCCAGTTAAACAGATTAAGAACTTGAAATTGGGAATCGGTGTCATCCCTGGCAATGAGGCAGAGTGTAGACCAAATGTTATAGTAAGTTAGCAATAGAGCACAAACAGTGAGTAAGTTGAAATTTATTGTCGCACCGGCGATTTTAGCCATACAGCGACCAGATAAAGTTAGCACATGTTCAAATGCGAAACACAAACACAATGTTATATATTGATAGCAAATTATCAAATTCAAACGAAGCAATATTTTAAAATGTTTAGTCTCGGAAACGCCTTCCAGGTAAAGGATTATTAAGGTATTTGTTGGAGAATTAACCGTCATAGAAACAAAATAATATAAAGAAGTTTAAATGAATCTGTCAGTCCCCTCTTTAATTACATTACATTACATTACATTACATTAAATACTGTCGTGAGATATTTTGGTTAAATTATCAGCCCTTTATGTGTGTGTTTAAGCAAGACAGTCCTTTCTATGTTAATGCATAAGGAAAGCTATAAGTCTAAACTGTGTGACGCCAGTCCGACTCTATATCACCAGGGATGTTACCTAACCTGGTGTGAAATCGGCATTGCTGGAAGCGCCTGGATAATCTCGAATAGAACACACGTCACCATTCGGCACCACTCGCCCGTTTTCGTTAAATGTTTTACATTCGTGACCAACTCGTGTTATTCCGGGACAAGTCTTCTTGCAGGTTACGGAAAGGGGCGAGTGGTGACGAATGAATGTTTTACTGAAGGCCGGAATGACACGAATGGTGACAAACGGTTCTGGTAGTTACAAAACACAAAACAATCTGTTCAAACCTGTGCGAGTTCAATGGCGGGAGTCGAGCGGGAAAGACAACGTTTGGTAGAGGCCTGGTGTAAATAATCAGAAAAAACAAAAGTGCAAAATAAATAAACAGACAAAATATGAACATAAGATAGTAAACAAAGCAGAGAAAATATTTTCCGTAATTAATAAACTTATCAGGTCATACACATCGAACCTTAGGACTCGGGGAACATCTACTAATGTCTCCGGTGGCAAACTATAATAATATATACAACTGCCTGGCAGGAGAAAGCACAGACCTTGGGGCTTTTTATATTCGAAGGTATATCGGCGACTGTTTCAGCCAAGTAATATTTTGATAACGTTTATAATATATGTATATTTATACACAAAACTTACATGCATATTACGTGCATACATGCATGCATGCATCCATCCATACAAGATGTTTAAACTGTTAAGGGCATGTGCGATTAGGAACCATTAGAGTTAGAATAGGTCCCGATAACGTGTGCTTATGCACAGACAGGACGGTGACTGCGTGTCATCTTATTTCTTATTTCGATTGCTTATAATATCAAGCATTGGTTTGCCAGGTCTTATTTCATAAGCTGATGTGATATAGATGGAGCATTGCTGAGCGAGGCGTGAAGCAAACAAACAACGTGTGCTTAATGTGCTAGCAACATTTCAGTGATTACCTAGGGGTATTTGTTTCAGGCTGACTAGAGACGGTATGGCTAGGTTTCAGTCTGGACGACCTGTGAAATGCGATAACCAAATATGAAAAATAATGAAAGGAAATACAAGTGAAACCAAAAGAGATAAATCATAAAGAGAAAACTGAAGGCCATTACAGTCACGGTTAGGGCTGGGACGGGTAGGAAAAAATGGAATCGAGTACCCGCATGTACTTACCCGAATCGGAATCGAGTACCCGGAAATGTAAGGAATACAGCGCTTCTGTCAACGTTCTGAATATTCAATCACGAGTTGACAGAGATTATTATAGAAAACTTACAAGGGTGGCAACAAGACATTAAAAATGATCTCAAGCTATATAACTTACGTCTGGTTAACCAATATGAGTAACACCATTGCTTACATTGCTCGTTAAAATAAACTTTTCGTTCCTACTGTTACTGTAACTTGACTACTCACTGCTCATGCGCAGATAAATTACAGTCGTTAATCATAACCTCCATTAATCGGACAATACCAATGATGTAAATGTGTGTTACGTCAATAATGAAAAAGACAAGTTATTATCTGCCCTTGTTATTACAGAATTCTCTCCTTTCCGGGTACTCGATTCCCAGAAATAGGACTCGATTCCAACTGTACCCGACCCGGATTCGAGTACCCGAGTACCCGTCCCAGCCCTAGTCACGGTTACTTCAAACGACGAACTCTGCGACTGTGTAGGTGATAAATATTTTTATTTACTCTTTCAGAAATCCTCCCCCAAACTCTACTTCTCATGAGAAGTTGAGGAACACGTTTCAGGACATATTAACTATAGCCACATAACAGTATCGGGTGTCATGACTATGTAACTGTTGTCATATGACAAAATGGAGTGTTCTTGAACAGTTTTTTATTTTCATATATGTTTTTGGTGATGATAATGATTCAATTTACGAATGGTTCACGGTTTGTGTTTTTTCAAGCTTTGACAGCATACAGCTGATACTACCCCAAATCTGAATCCGTAATTTTACAAGCTGTTTTCGAAGAACCGCCAGTGTGCATCGAATAATCTAAAAGCTTTGATTGGACGATTTGTGTATTTTTAAAAATTTACATTCATGCGGATATGAAAACCAGCCTGGTCCCCTGGGTCCGTTGCGCCTGCGCTACGCTCCGACTCAGTGTCGGAGCGTAGCGCAGGCGCAACGGACCCAGGAAACCAGGCTGAGATGAAAACTTATCATATTTTATGATATTTAGTGCTGTCATTTTCAACATGATGAATTGTGCTGAATGCAACCACATATATATGTTCAAGCGGGTAATATTTTGTGCAGAACTATGATTGGTGTTAAATTTTGACTTCCTGTACTCGGAAAAGGAGCTGGCTGAGGTAGTAAATTTTGGACAGACTATACACACAGGTATATGTCATAGCTGTTGATGGCTTAATTCAGTTGTTGTTGTTTTAGATATAACGTTACTATGGTCAATGGAAATGAGAAGATCGGAAAATATTTGGGTTCGTGTAACCTTTAAATCAACTGAATCTCCCCTTATTTCAAATTCAATCAACCACAAGATACGTGTCATCTGGATTGATGACTTCAATAAAGGGAGAGAACTCACTCATTGTTGTCCATCGTCTTGTACAATTCCTCAGATTCCGGTGATGGTTCAGGAGAGACGCTGTTCCTGTTAAGTATCCGTTGAACAGGAGAACTAGACTGGGGCCGGAACATCACCTACGACAAGCTGAAAACACACATTAGAATTAAAGCATCCAAGACTGGTAGATATATACAGGGGTGAAAGTACCAGTGCAGCAGAAATGAGAATTGCTTACACCTTAACCCTGAACTCTACACGGTAGGACATGATATTTATTGTCTAACTTGAAAACTCGAGCGCTAGATGGTTCTTGAAAGTCAAAAATGCGTTGGAGAAACACGTTCATTTATTACTAATAAAAACCGTAATAAATGCCAATAATTACCAATATTTGTTACCAAAAAATATCTAACTTGGACGGTCCAAAGAAAACGTAGATAATAGCGTTTTGAGAGCATCTAACTGTAAGGAGTTTCTGGTGTTGGGTGGAGGGCTGGTATCCTCCGCGCCCTCGTACACTGACGCTTAATAATAATGCTCCACGACATCATTCCCAGTACAAGTTCAAATACATCCTCACTGAGTCTTGAATTATGGCATTCAAAGTACTGAACATGTGATCACCACCCGCCGCTGCATCACTCACATGGGCGGATCCAGGAATTTTCAAAGGGGGTGGGATGGGAAGTGTTGGGTGTTTCGAACCCCCTGGAACACACACTCCGCCAATGCAAAACATTAGCAGTAGACTTTGGTAATTTTCAAGAAAGGGGTGCTTTCGAACCCCCAAGGAAACAAACACACGCACACACGCGCGCGCACGCACGCACGCACGCACACACGCACACACACCATTGGATCCGCCCATGAGTCCTCACTCATCAGTATCCTTACCGGGTTTGTCATGGCACAGGCAGAATTGAAAAAAGTGTATTCAACTTCGATCTTTCCAACGTGAAATCTGCTGAATCTATTAACGTCGATTTTTGCATAAGGTTTTCGAAAATCACTGCCCAAACATCTAAGAACATATGTTACTACAGAATCACCATTTGTGATTGCTTTGTGTGGTGCATCTGTATGTGTATGGTAAGTGTTATGGCAACGTCCACGTGATCCTAAACTGGTATGTTATGTATGCTGCGCTCCCGAGGCTGCTGCCACAATGAGATGTATTAGAGGCTAAATAGTCCTCAGATGTAGAATAATACCAGTTTGAATGGTATGGCCGTACTTCAGCTGTATATTGACACTCTGGCAACTGCGATCGATTAGGACTGGTTATACAGGCAATTCCACTTTCATCACAATTGGACGACTGTTGAAGATTTCAAACCATGTAGATCAATATTGAAGTTTCCATCTTAAATGTCATACAGTTCGATAAGAGTCAAACATTTAATATCAGCTTCAGTCGCTACTAACTGGAAATGTTGTTGATACACATCGCGCAATGTTTGTTCGGATATAGGCGACCTCTTGAGCAAATTATACGGAACTGTGATTAAAGAACACATTTCAGGTTTGGTTAATCAGATGGTTTGAAGATTTACATATATCGCCACTTAATCAAAGGGGAAACATACTAAACAGGCAAATACTGAAAGTGGAAGATCGGGCCAGTTTAACTAATATAAATTGTATTAGCGCTAAGAAGTTTGTAACATCAATAATTACTTATTATACGCATGACTATGAGGTGCGTAGCCTATACTGACTGACTGACTGAGTTTTGGTTTTACGCTGCTTTTAGCAATATTCCAGCAACATTACGGCGGGGGACACCAGAAATGGGCTTCACACATTGTACCCATGTGGGGATTCGAACCCGGGTCTTCGGCGTGACGAGCCAACGCCTTTAACCACTAGGCTACCCCACCGCCCGCGTAGCCTATACAATGTTGTGAGGAAGAGTTGTTGTACAGTTTCTATAATTTGTCGCAGTATATATGTGATAATGTAAGAGGACATGAGGAGCCAAACTAAATATTTATGACCCATCATTTTTCAGAACATCCATCAACTTCTGAAAACACATATTACTTATAAAAACTGAGATCGAATACAGAATATCACATAACAACATGGTGGCCCGCTTACGTTCAGATGGCAGAACAAGCCTGTTTTACACTGAACCTTGTTTCCGTGACTACATGTTCCATCTAACTAATGGAGAGCAGGCTGCCAGTATTAAGTAAATCAAACAATATGACATCCCGGTCTCTCATATTAGATTTAGTCCTGTAATTTTTCGTAATGGTATTGATAAAACGTATAAGTACTTGTACTATTGACGCTCTGCGAAACACTGACCAGTCATTACTGTCATCATGGAACATTATATAGTAAAGCAGAAATCGTTATAACAAGGTTGTGTGCAAACGACAACGGAAGCTACAAAACAATAAAACACTCGAACACTAAAATACTTGAATTAATGATGAATCAGCACGCGTCAATGTTTACTCTGTTCGTTGCGTGGTTACATGATAAAGTGCAGTATAGTAATAGTAGTATTGTGTGTTTGGAATGGAGATTAAAACACGCAGAACCGACCATGATAATGAACCGTTTGTCAGATCAAGAGAAAAACACATTTTTAAACTGACAACGTTACCTCGGAAAATCTTGGGATTTTATGCACGCACACGCATACGCACAAACACACTAATGTATTTATTATTGTTAGATAACCTGCATGACATGATGCCATAAAAGCTCATGACTTGGTCTGCTTGTCAAGTTGCTTGACAACGACATTAGAATCTATGTCGAAACGTCGACTATACAGAAGAAAGAAGTTGTTTATCCATAAAATTGTCTTCATTCTTCATAGCCTCAACTTCTAGAATGCCAGTCAAAGAATGTCTACTGTTTGTTGAGAATAGTGCATTTTCTCAGAAACCGTAAGAGTAACGAAGGTGTTACACATGCTTGTCGTGAAAGGCAACGAAGGGGATCGGGTGGTCAGGCTCGCTGGCTTGGTTGACACATGTCATCGTGTCCAAATTGCGTAGAGCGATGCTCATGCTGTTGATCACTGGATTGTCTAGTCCAGACTCGATTGCTTACAGTCCGCCGCTATATAGCTAGAATATTGCTGAGTGCCACTTTAAACAACCAACCAACCAACTTACCAACTGTTACACATTTGACACCCGAAATTGATTGACAGCTTTTAATCTAGTTTTCAATGTTGCCGCGATTGCAGTCTTATTGAAACTCTGTGGCTTTTAACAGGCCTTTTTGGGGTTTCTTTCGCCAGTTAGTATTATGACTCAAGATATATTGGAATTTTATTTTGCTATGTTACATGCAGGACTTCATTACATCCGTCGCACCACATCTATGCCACTAATGCATCAGTGTCATGTCACATCCATGGCGTTAATACGCCACATCATCCCATTGGTAATAACAAACACATTATCACGTTTTATACCACATCCAATTCAACATCCACATCCACAACATTAGAACATCTGATCAACCACATCTGCGACATTATACATCCGTACAATACGCCCATTTCATTATCACATCTGTGATACCACGCACACAACACTATCACATCCGTAATACCAAACACATTATCACGTTTTATTCCAAATCCACATTCGGTAAAAAGCATCTGCGACACTGTACATCTATATAACATGCCCATTCATTACAACATCACGGATTGCAGTTGGCGTTAAGCGTGGGGATCCTGGGGACATAATAACCCCACCCCCGACACCCGACAGATGAAGATACGGGGAGTTGATTAGGACGAGCGTGTTGATGTGTCCACCTGCTAGTTAACCCCAGCAGAGATCTACCGACCCCGTATAGCAATAATATCTAATAAACACAGACAGGTTACAAACCACAATGATGTCTTGTCTAATCAGATCGGTATTGATCAGTCAGTCTGGTTAAATCCCAAACCAATTTGTTAATGCATTATATAACGGTATATAGCCAGGGTTCGTTGTATAAATTCCATGTATAGTAGCTATAGCTATTTGTAAACAAACTGTGTAATAATGTAACCGGTATAGCACATTTATGTTTTCAGAATTTTAAAACCCTTTCCCACAATTAAACATTTATGTTAAAAGCCTCCAGCCACCTCAGACATCACTCCATCAGGTGGTCACCGCTGTCCACCATCGGACTCATGTCAGCGGACATAGGATCATCAGGAGCGACGCAATAGCTACTTATAAATAGCACTGGCTGTTCTTGAAGCCACATTGTATTGATCGCCGACAAAGGATGAGGCCAACAGTGAATTAGACATGAATGACTTTCACGGTCTCCCTCATAACTGGGCACCCAATCGGTAGCATTGTGGCATTGCTGTATACGCGATCAATGCTAATGATACCACTTCGTGGCGCCTACAGCACTACTGGGTGATACATGGCTCGTCAGATAAATCTGCCACTTGGTCTGGGTTGGTTGGGTTAATTAACACCACAGATTTAGACAAGTCCTGCACAATGGCCCTTGACCCTTAAAAAGCTTACAGAATTCTATGCATGACAACTGACCAGAGCGTTACAAATGTGTCTCGCTATGTATTTCTGAACTTATATAGGGTTCCTACAGAAACACCTGCACAGGGAGGTAGTATTAAAAGGACCTGATCTGCAAACAATTTATAGTACAATCTCAAACTCCCATCCTCCGTCCACCCACAATCCGAATTCACATCCTTCATCCACCCACTACCAAAACTCCTATTCTTCATCCATCCACAACCCAAACTCACATCCTTCATCCATCCACAATCCGAATTCACATCCTTCATCCACGCACTACCAAAACTCCCATCCTTCATCCACCCACAACCTAAACTCCCATCCTTCACCCATCCACAACCCAAACTCCCATCCTTCATCCATCCACAACCACAAACTCCCATCCTTCATCCACCCACAACCCAAACTCTCATCCTTCATCCACCCACAACCCAAACTCCCATCCTTCATCCATCCACAGCCTAAACTTCTATTCTTCATCCATCCACAACACAAACTCCCATCCTTCATCCATCCACAACTCAAACTCCCATCCTTCATCCACCCACAGCCTTAACTCCTATTCTTCATCCATCCACAACACAAACTCCCATCCTTCATCCACCATCAACCCAAACTCCCATCCTTCATCCCCCAAACTCCCATCCTTCATCCATCCACAGCCACAAACTCCCATCCTTCATCCACCCACTACCCAAACTCCCATCCTTCATTCATCCACAACCTAAACTCCCATCCTTCATCCATCCACAAACCAAACTCCCATCCTTCATCCACCCACAACCTCAAACTCCCATCCTTCATCCATCCACAACCTCAAACTCCCATCCTTCATCTACCTACAGCACAACCATCGAGAAGAGTATATCACAAGCTATATCACAAGCAGGGATATTGTACATCCTAGACCACCATACATGCACAATGTACTTGTATGTATACCTACCTAAACGTGTGATACAACCAACTGCAATGATGTAAAGTGAGTGAATCTATGTTTTACGTCTACATTATACATACAACGATACGTTATATAACAAAACCAGGGCCTACATGTAGCCCTAGCGTACACAGTCAACAGTGATTTCGACGTTACAGTTACGATTACACCACTGGTAACACTGTGCTACATATAAAGGGACAATGTATACGGATCACGGTCACATCACTGAAGGTGCCACCAGCGGTGATAAATTATCTATAACTCACCACCATCTTGTAATATTGCCTGACCACTGACCACTCAGAGCGTGATGGACCTGTACTGCATCTCTGTGATGTTACTATCGATCCACGGCTACAGTTGGACCGCCTCCCATCACGTGGGGAATTCCTTCATCAGCTAATCTATTCCTTGTTTACCGTTCTACCAGGAGCTGCAGGATTGTTTGGTATATACTTCCGAGCTATATTCAAGTTGATAAACGGCGTACATATAATTCAGAGAGTAATCTGTAATCTGAATTATGATTCTGATCATCCGATTTGTGATATACGTAATTGTATCACTTTGGTGATCAATACTAATCGATATACGCTGCATGAACTGGGTTAAGGTTGAGAAGAGTAGGCAATGGATGCCATACAACGCGTGGCTTTGTGGAGTTGGTATATATCGCCAAGTTACATGTTTACAACTGTTTGGTATCAACTGACTGACTGAGTTTGGTTTTACGCCGCTTTTAGCAATATTCCAGCAATATCACGGCGGGGACACCAGAAATGGGCTTCACACATTGTACCCATGTGGGGATTCGAACCCGGGTCTTCGGCGTGACGAGCGAACGCTTTAACCACTAGACTACCCCACCGCCCCATTTGGTATACACAATTAGGGGATATACATCGGTCTGGTATACAACCACATTTAAAACATACAACAAGTTTAAAAAATAATGCATTGAAAAATATTGTATGTCCAAATTGATGTAATACTAAACATCTAACTGTGTGAGTTACTGTATGTATTGTATACTCTGTATGTAGGCCGGAGGGATAAAATACAATACACTTCTTCTTCTTCTTCTTCTCCTCCTTCTTCTTCTGGTATACAGCATTAGACTGACTGACTGAGTTTGGTTTTACGCCGCTTTTAGCAATATTCCAGCAACATCACGGCGGGGACACCAGAAATGGGCCCCATCAGCATTGTACCCATGTTATGCAACTTCGAACCCGGGGCGGTCGGCCTAGTGAGCCAACGTTGGCTCGTCACGCTGAAGACTTCCCCACATGGGTACAATGTGTGAAGCCCATTTCTGGTGTCCCCGCCGTGATGTTGCTGGAATATTGCAAAAGGGCCGTAAAACCAAAACTCAGTTGGTAAATATCGTTAGGAATAATTAAAATGTTTATTATCTACCATTCAGAATTATGCTTATTGATATGCTCATGCAGTTGATCACGGGATTGTCTGGCCCAGAATCGATTATTTACAGACCGCTGCCATGCAGCTAGACAATTGCTGAGTGCGGCGTAAAACAACATTCACAAAGAAAAATATAATTCATACTTAATCTGTTATTATACACATCATTTATAAAATGACACATTTACAATCTGATACATGATCTGATAATACTGTAATTAATTTGTGATTTAACAGCATGGCGAAGGAAAGAATTCTCTTGAAAACTAGATTTAACCTAAACCGTATATACATGTATGTAATCATAACGTTACTGGGTTGAAAACAGGTCTCCAAAACACTTCACGCCGCCATATAGCTGGAATATTTGGTTGGAAAACCAACCAATCAAAACACTTCAAACTTAAGGTCCAAAATACCGGTATAATGCCCATATGAAATGCGTCAAAGTCGAAGAATCATTTCTGTTTATTTGTATTTTGAGACACCATCAGTCATGTGTGTTTACTATCTGTTGCACGTCACGCCATGTGACTGAACCACTTGAGTGTTTATACCCGTGTACAATGTTAATCGATATACACCGCGTGAACTGGGTTATGGTTGAGGGCTGATGAAGTGTTGGTGGTGCCGCTTGACGTGTCCTCCAGTTATACCATGTAGTGTCAACGTGATGAAGGAGGAAAGCCCGAAGTCATGCACGTGTTAAATGTTTACCACTAACGTGAAACCGATGATTATGGTTTAAACAAAGAAACATCACAATGAGTGTGGGATTTGAGTGAGTGAGTATGGTTTTACGCCTCTTTAAGCAATATTCCAGCAACATCACGGCGGGGGACACCAGAAATGGGCTTCACACATTGTACCCATGTGGGGAACCGAACCCGGGTCTTCAGCGTGACGAGCGGACGCTTTAACCACTAGGCTACCCTACCGCCTGGGGATTCGAACCAAGATAATAGGTTTCTTTACACCCTATACTAAAGCGTCTGAGCAGACTATACCACCCCTCTATGCACTTTATGTGCAATAAATGTGTTTTAGGGTACACGTTCGTTTAATCGTATATCTGGTGTTCCATGACACTACACAGGTAGACACAATGTATGTAACGGATAGGCCTATATGAACGGTTACAGATGGCAATACACCACAGGATTAAATGAAAGAGTAATTACCAAGGTAGTCACAGTTTCCGATCCAAATTTGATAGCATAGGCACGTTTACAAACACTTCCCCACATACTACAACCGTCGGTGATTGGTATAAACAACTTGCGACATGTAACAGATAATAATATACCACAGGATTAAATGAACGAGACATTACCAAGGTAGTCACAGTTTCCGACCATAAACTGATGATATCCTCACATTTACAAATACTTCCTCACATACTATAACCTACGGCGATTAGTATAAATAACTGGCGACATGACACGACTCCATATTGTCAAATATCGCCCCGTGTAGCGGTTCACTGAGTCCACCTTCCTGAACAGGCCTTGCAGTAATGACGACAGAACTTCGATCAGATACCGATTTGTCTGTCTTATGTATATTTCCAACAACAGCCCCACATGTTACAACACGTAACATACTCTCTCACCTGTAAGTCAAGGTAAATCCACAACTGTCATCCCCATGTTCATCCTCACCGAGTGTCGTCTGTATTTATTCCCTCTGCTATGGCGATGCAGTGTTTACGCTCCCCTCGCCGGTTCAGTGAACGATCTCACTTCTCTATTCTTTCATACAATGAAAGATATCGATCGATAATGCAAATGAACGAAAAGACAGGTAAATCGAACATTCTTGACATGATTAAGTTCATCTCAGTTACCACGTCCGTGATGCAGTGTTATTTCACTATTGTGTTCGGTAGCCATTCACCCCCGTCACTTTACTATATTTGTTTTCCATATCTTTTGTTACTAGTTACTTCAGCGTGTACGCACATTACGAGAGCTGCACAAGTCTATGCAGGTTGTCCCGGGTGATATCCACAATGGCTCACACTGACTTGTGTTTATATCCTAGTGGTCAGATATAGGGTGTGTGTCAAAGGGTCATTATCATAATAAATGATTGTACAAATAAACTGCCGCTATACCCGTCTATCGAAATTACACCTACCTTCTGCACAACGCGTGTGTAAAATTATGGTATGCTGTTTGAATGTGTAAAGCTAAAATGCTCTTGCGAAATCTTGCGAATAGAATATTTGGTAAGAGTCTGTTTGAATAGACATACCTATGTACACCTTTGTTGACAAAGTCCGTGTGTCCTCTTGGCGACAGAGATTTATGGTTTCTGTTCAAGGGTAAATGTTTCCACATAGTGTATCCGATCAAAAGCCGTTTCTATACTGCGTTAAGAAGTTATTTTCACGATCACCAGATTATAGCATAATGTATTTGGGAATCCTAGCCATGACCGTGAATAAGCGCATTAGATATTTGGGGAGCTGATTACATGCATACAAACTCTAACAATACCAATGAGAGAGCAGAGATGTTTAGCGCCATTTACGATAGTATACTACCCATCAAAAGTCTAGACTCACCAGTGTAAAGTTAGCCACTTACTTCAGTCAACTGTTCTAAACCAGATTTTGCAAAATATTCCATACTGTTTAAAGGTACTATTTACACATGAACTAATGTATTGTAAAACAAATTCGTAACGTTGAAAAGATTATTGTCATGAATTCAATAAATGATGAAACTCAGTGAAAATTGGCGAATTCTTAACAAAACTTTACACCAAATCGCAGCTGTTCACATGCACGATATTTGCACATGCTTTTCAACAATTTGATGCATGATCCTCATGCAATTCATCTGCTTAAGGTTTGCAGTTGGTTCCCCCAAGTTAGGGGAGAAATTCATCTTCGATGGAACCACATATATACATAACATATAGTGAATGCTTTAAGTGAGTCTAAACTTTTGATGGGTAGTATAATTACAGGTATATGGCGGCGGGAGGGCCAAACGTTCACCACTTTGATGAACTCACGAAAACGAGGATGTAACAAGGCAGACGGGGATTCGAACTCACAAGGAAAGGCTTCCTCGTGCCCAAGGGGCGCAACTCTGTACAGCTAATTACGGCGCCTTAGACAACTGGACTGCCATGTCTCTCACAGGCAATAGTAGAGAACTATTACAATGAAGGAAAGAGTAAGCTCGTTTTGTAATGTAAATGTCAAATTTCAAAACTAAATTTCAATTTCGAAATCGTGCGCGCCATGCTGAGATAGAAAATATATTGAATCAATATTCAATATACCGCAATCCAATCTATACCTTAAACTGAAGTTGGAATTATTTTTATGACAGTTCAGCTATGTAAATCAACCATTCAGTCTTACACTGCTTCCCAAATCAACTCCCAGGGAATCCAGGGCTGAATCCGCCTGCAGCCGTTCATGCATATATTGGGTAACTAAACATTGTAATATCGGCTAGCGGCTCACTCACATTATCATTGGCTTATGGATCATATAGAAGTGATACATTTGAATATCATGTGCATCATGTGTACTGTCGTGTTTGTGAAGTGTATATTACCTCCGACACTGAGATATAATCCATACCCAACACGGTGAGTAATAAATGATTTACTTTACCGTGCAAAAGAAGGAATAAGTTTGATGGTGGTTAGAAATTAAACGAAAACGAAATGTTTATTCGATGGCGGATATCTAGTTGTGTTTCGGTTCATATATAGTGTTTCGGTTCATATATAGTGTTTGTGGTGATTCAGCCTTGAATCTGGAAGGTTTTAGTTGAATCCAATTTTCAAGCTTATATATTCTTTTGCTGGGCCTGCGTGTATCAATGTTTGTCGCCAGCGGACTTACAGTGAGGTAAAGTAACTCCGACATATAATATTGACCTACACAGTAGTTGGCCATAAGTGAGTCATCATTAGTGAAATTTCCATAGACTTACATGTTAATTAACTGTTGCAAGAATAATTTTCATAAATTGAGTATAGAAGTTCTTTTATTTTGATATTTTGCAAACATCTTGGAAATCATCTTCAGCTATGTGTACATAATTTTCTTTCATCTTTCCGTTGATTAGTTATCGAATGACATCTGATTAAGCACCATAAGTACAACTTAATTTTAATCTATCTCATGTTAAATCTGATGGGTATGTCTAATATATGTTGCCTATGGCCTATAAAATCAATGATGTGTGACAGAGACAAGTGCCACAGAGGGAAGTTGACAAAATATATGTTGTTTAAATAGTTGCAGTTTTCTTAATAATCATCGGAAAATTAAATGGAAATTATGTGTATGTAGCTGACATGATTTCCCAGCTGGTAGATAAGTATTAAAAGCAATTCGAAACTAAAATTCAAAACTAAATTTATGAAATTATTCTTGCAAGAGTTAACTAACATGCAAATCTATGGGAATTTCACTAATGATATCTCACTTATGGCCTACTACTGTATGTGTGTAAAGGTGCTTCGACAATATCAATAGTTGCTCATGTTTTTGACCATTTGTTTGTCTGTTGCCAACTTGATGACGTTGATGATAGCCTTGTGGTAAAAGCCTTCGCTCATCACGCCGAAGAACGGGGTTCGATTCCCCACATAGGTACAATGCTTGAAGCCCATCTCCGGTGTCCCCCGCCGTGATTTTGATGGAATATTGCTGAAAGAGGCGTAAATCTACAATCACTCAATGTTTACAATAGCCACATGTCGCGGTGTTCTTAATTCCTTTTACGAATGTCGAAATAATATAATTAATCAAATATCGATCTCGCCTAACGTCTGTATTCAAGAACAAACCTCTCCACAACAACTGTGCAATGTCTGTTGCTAATACCACCGCATATCAACAGCAAAGTAAATAAATATATATTAAAAATGGAGGTGTGCTAGTTTGCCGCGCAGATCAAGATATCGCGTGAGCTTTTAAGGAACCAAGCAATATTGGCAACTGTTGCTGACTAAACTGCATTGGTTCGGATAAAAAAATAACCCCAAACAAATTGCTACTTGACTTCATTGTTTCCAGGAAGTGTTTTCTTCTTTGAAAGGTACTAAACCGCTGGACAAAAGAAGGTATATATACACTGTATAACAGATCCCCATGTTCCTTGCGTTGCCTTTTGTGCGTCCCCAGCTGTTGAGAGAAACTCTAACACCTGGATCAAAACATAGAATCAGCGTTTCTTGTTCTTTTTTAATCTACCCGTGAAGATCCGGGTTAGAATTTATATTCAGTAATCCATGCTTGTCGTAAGAGGCGACTAACTTGGTTGACACATGTCATTGTATCCCAATTGCGTAGACCGATGCTCATGCTGTTGATCACTGGATTGTCTGGTCCAGACTCGATTATTGACAGACCGCCGCCATATAGCTGGAATATTGATGAGTGCGGCGTAAAACTAAACTCACTCACTCGTTTTTAGTCACACTCACGGACTTTTTAACCTTGGTCACGAGTGTATTACTGACTGACTAAGCACCATAATCAGGGGGAATCCGTGATATGAATTAACGATTATCGGATCCTGGCACAGCCAAGGTACTCAATACAGTGAATGCGGTGCCTTGGACGTCTGTTACGTCTGTGGTAAAATAGCGACATGCACTCATTGGATCATAGAGAAAACCAAGGAAAGCAACAGAGGAGTTAGAGGGTGATAAAACAGACACTGAGCAGATCGAAAACAGACAGACCGTGATAAAACAAAAGCCGAAAGTTTACAAAACCCAAAAAGCATCCATCAGGAAAAACAGAAGGCAGTAACGGATATTTAGAAACAGAAAGTGATTGAACCTGAAAACAGTAACAGTTATGTAGAAACAGAGGTTGAAACGGTAGGTAGAACCAGAGATAGATGGAAACGGAAGGCAGGAAGAGATCGAATATATGGGACTGGAAACTAATGACATATTCGCCTGCTAAACAGAGCTGATCACTGTTAACTGCCTGAAAACACCACATTCATTCCCTCACCAACACATTTTCAGCGATCTCCAAAGTACTGCGCGATATGTGAGGCTCCATCTGAACCAAACTCAAGGACAACCGAGCGAACTCAGGGACCCTGTACAACAACAGAGTAAATACACAGTTTGTTTATTATTTGAATAATTCACAATTTTAACAGCAACACCCATTAACCTTGATTGCACGTGAAGAGTACTGAAGGACTAAATGCCCTTTCCTTGGCACTATTTCTTTGTTCTTGCACTATTTCAAACTTAAAATAAAATCGAAGATTCAACGAAGCTCGGAAGGACCTCTAAGGACATTCATTATTGACTACCTGGAAAGGCAAACTAGATGATTGAATGTTTATGTCTGCACTGAACACAGTCATTGTCTGTAGACCCCAGGAGGGATAGCCTAGCATTTAACCTATTACACATCATTCTCAGTTGTTTTGTTTGTATTTTGATGTGTAGTCAACTGCAGTGCAGTGACGTTTTTTCCTCTTTTCCAGGCCAGCAAGCAAAAACAACTGAGAGTGATAAATAATGTCCCCAAAGTCTGAAATATTTGAAATTAACCTAGTCTGGACCAGGCTAAAGAGTTTATACACCTGAAAACTGGATTATATACCTTACCAAACCGTTTCTAGGCTGGGAACAATCGTTGAAACACTTCGAACTTAAGGTTCAAAACACAAATATGATACCCGTATCAAATATACTAAGGAGCAAAAGAAACGTCAATTTGGAATTTTCCTTCTCTGAAACGGATAACTGTAAACTCATTTAATGTTTGGATGTATATTTTTGACATCTCCAACTTTAACTGAGC